AATATAGTACCTACTCGCGGATTATAGATACTTTGTAAACTCAACAACCAAGCTATAATAAGTCATGTAACAAAAACAAACATGCCAAATAATTAGCTACAAATCACATATTGGCTAGTATCTCCACTACCCGCAAACACTAATAACACATTATTAACTAAATGTAAATCATACACTTACACAAACACTATAAACATGCACCAACACTGTACTATTATTCTCTCAACTACCCAATGCATCACCATTAAGGTAACTAGTACAAAACAACTCCGTACAGATATTGACGACCTGTTACAACACCACTCCAAGCTTAACCAATCTGAAAAAAAACAAAAATGCCAACCAATTAAGAATAATATAATATCTGCTCCAACTACCTCTAATAACTTATTAGACCAACTATTCATCACAGATATTGCCTTACCTCATCTCTCTCATCTTAGCCAAATTAACTCTCAAACAAAAAACCTTCAGATATATCTATATGTCAACACATCACACTTAAATACTTTAGATATTCAGGCAAACTTCACCTGGACACTTTCAATGACCAATATTTCTTTTTCAGCCACAATAATACACTAGCCATCTACCACTAGAGCATATCTAATTGGAGTTATATCAATTCTCTCAATCACCTCTCTCAATAGCAAGATCAACATACTTACACCTCACAAGCCAACTATAAATTATGTTAACTCAGTTATACAATACTCACATAATCTCAACCTTCTTATCCAGAAACACAATTACTGGCCTCTCAAGCAGCTTATTCAAACTATCATTGCTCGAAAACACTTAATCATCAAGTTCACCCATATAGATTACAGAGCAAACCACCCACTCTTTCAAAAAACCATGCAACTAGCAACTTCGTTACAGCAGCACAAAATTAAATTAGTGCCATTCACATTAGACAAAACAACTTCTATCTTACATGGAACAATGTACCAGTAGAACATAAAACACGTCATTTTATTCGATATCTACAAAATGCAAAAAATACTGCTAAATGGCACTCTATCAACAGAACAAGTAGCTGGCAAGATATACGATCAAACACGAACTGAAATAGTACTCACCAATTTATCAACTTCAACAATAAACCACATACAAGATTTACACACCCCAAACTATCACTAAAGAAGAATTTTAAAATTAAATTTCTACTAGATGAGTTACCAACACTGCTTAACCTATATTATCAACACCCCAAAAAATACACAAACCCAACCTGCAACAGATGCACTCAAGCAACTGAGGACAATATCCACTGGCTGATCTGCCCAGGCAACCCAACATCACTACATCAAGTGATAATATAAACAGTGACAAAACAATGCACAAAAAAGGATACTCACCTGCCAGATCTGGCAGCAGTAGCACAAATCTTCTTCACTAATGATACAAATATACCTAACATTCCACTACTACAAGGGCTAATTCCAGAAAATATTAGGTCAATCACTTCAACTTCAAATAATACATTTATCAAAGTGCTATATAAAATATCAAATAACATCTACAAACAAATATGGCTTGAACGCTATAAAGATATGCATCAAAATAGACTAATAACTGACCAATATACTGCTACAATCCCACAGATCATATTAGTGCAATAAAATATAACACATAGGAAAAAGTGTTTCCCATCACTAATATATCTATATTGTATATAGCTAAACTAAATATAGTGGAGGCTGATAGCCCACTTTAGTAGAGCTTTGGGCCGAGGATAAAGTAGTCCTAGCTGTAGATCCCTGTAATGATTCATGTAATTCATTTAAATAATATAAAGCATAATTATCCAATAAAGACCAAGGCCAGGCCTCACTCTTTAAAAACAAAAAAAAAAAAAAAAAAATACTTATAGAGGTTTACTGTATATGTAATCAATTTAAAATTAACTAAATAGTTCGAGTTTACTAAATTTATTGATTTTCCTTATATTAATACAATATTTTTTTTTTAGTTTATATCAGGGTACAAAATTCTATTGTTCAGTTTATTTCTGGCATAGTTTTAAAGGTGCCAGTAATTTTATATTATAAATATATTACAGAAGTTTCTAAATTTTATTTACAAAAAAAAAAGCAGATTACAACATGCTGAAATTTTGTACTCTGGTTTATACCTCCATAATTATCTTGTGTCATGAACTCAAATTTAATTTATCAGATCTTTCTTACATCAATCTGAATATAATATCAAAAAATTAATATAAATTATCTCTATTATATAGTAGTATTTAAACTATTATTATTACCTTGGCATCATCTCAATTTAATTTATTGGATCTTCTCAAGTTTAATTTATTGGATTTCTCTTACATTAATCTAATGTAATAAAATTTAATTAATATAGATTATCTCAGTGCACAAAATTTTAGCATGTTGTAACTGCTTTTTTTTCTGTAACCGAAATTTAGTAACTCCTGCAATATATTTATATTATAAAATTTTCTGGCCACTTTAAAATTATGCCAGAAATAAACTGAAACTTCAGTATTTTACAATAGAATTTTGTGCCCTGGATTATCTCTATTACAGTATTAAAACTACTATAATTACTTTGTGTCATAAGAATGCAAATTTAATTTATCAATTTTTTTTACATCAATCTAATATAATAAAAATTTTTTATCAAAAAATTTAATATAAATAAAATCTTTTTTTTAGTAAAATAATAGCACCTTAGTTATGTCTTCATTTATCTCTTCAGATAAATCTTCTTCTATATCTATCTCTTCAGATACATCTTCTTCTACGTCTACCTCTTCAAATACATCCCCTTCTACATCTTCATTAACAAACAACTAGCCAAAAATGTAACAAGATCTAGAGGAGGAATCAAATTAATTAGTTGGGTTGAAGATCAAGAATTACCAACAAAACTAGAAGAATTTTCATATATATCAACAAATTATTAAACAGAAAAGACTGTACTTCTAAAATTATGACAAAGAGTTCAACTGAAAATATTATTAATCATTTAGTGGTTAGGCATCAAATATTCAAAAATACGTCCTTATCTACAAGATCAACTAATCAAGATGAATTTTTCACAATGACCAAAGAATGGCGAAAATATCTTAAACAACTTCTCTATGAGTGGTTTATTCTAGAGACTCTGTCTTTATATATACTTGAATTACCTTCATTCTAATGTTTTATTAATAAATCCATTCCGGCATTCGATATTCCTAATCGTAAAAAATTTAAAAGAAAAATTTTTGAGTCTAAAAATTATGTTAGTTTAAAAATTTCAAAATTATTAAAGTGCAAAGCAAGTTTGGTATCACTTACATGTAATTTATGGACTTCTCACTTTAAGATGAAGTTTTTTAGAGTCACTGCACATTTTATAACACCTAATTTTGAGTTTAAAGAAGTTACCTTAATGATTAAAAATTTTCCACATCCTTATAACGGCTATTATATTCAAGAAGCCCTAGAAATAGTTATAACTAAATGGAAATTAAACAATAAAGTATTTTGCTGCACTACCCACAAATATGAAAAAAGCACTTAATCAAATTTTTTGGCTTAAAACGGTCTTGTGTACACCACACACTATTCAATTAGTAGTTGAAAAAGAAATGCTACTAGCCAAAGTTCTAATTGCAAGAGCGTGAAGACTAATTAATTTTTTTACTCATCCTAAACAATGCAAGAGATTAATTAATATTTAAAAGCAATATGCTATAAGCACAAATATTGAAGATGAATTAATAATTAAATCACAATTAGTTTTTTATCATGTACTTACTGATTGTGAAACATGATGGACTAGTACTTTTAATGCATAGGGTCGTTTGTTAATTTTACGACTATTCATTAATATTTTTTCTACAATAATGAATATAAAGAATGCTAATGTAGAAACAAAAAAGGATGGAAAGCAGTTAGAAAAAATTAATCTAACTTCTAAAGAATGCTATTTATTGAAAAGGTTATGCCAGTTCTAGGTAGTGTTTTAAATTAAAAATTGATTATGTAATCAAGTTGGAATTTATTTATTTGTGCAAGTGATACAAACCTAAAAAAGAAAAAAACTAATATATTTTTTTATTTGCATATAAGTTATGACTTTAGAGTTGTGGTTGGAGTTAGAATTAATATATTCTAAAATTTAAAATAATTTTTTTTGTTAGAATGTAAAAGTGATTTCTTAGGCAAAATTTAAGTTACTGTCTATTTTTTTAAAAAGTCTTTGTTTATATTACACTACTGATCTTGCGATTTATATAAGAAAATTTTTTTATTTGGAATTATACCACTGACACAAAGAAGTGTATGCGATCAAGTTGACAACTAATTATTAATTTATTAAATAACTTAATTATTTAATTAATTAATTGGTTGTTTTTAATACACTTGACTCCCATCAATATCAACCTATTTAAATTAGTTTTATATTTATTAATCAATTATTGTTAACTTAACAATAATTGATTTTTTAAAAATTTTGGCCAACTAATTGATTGTATCTTTTGGTTTTTAATTTGAAACACTAATTTTAGAACCATTTGCTGAAACTATTAAAAAGCTGGAAGGAAATCAATATACAACTATAAGTTATGTATACTCTGTGATTCAAAAAATTAAGTCAAGATTAAGCTGTTCTTTTGACCCTATCAATGAAAATGATAGTCAAGATGAATTGGAAGATGCATTTGACAATCTACAATTTGAAGACAAGGAAGAAGATGATAAACCAAAAGTAAAGCAGAGAATCAAAATTAATAATCTAGTAAATACGATTGAATTAATTGATGCAATTAAAGGTAAACTTTATCATACAATAAATGTTTATTATGAAGATTTAGAGCTTGATGGTCTTGTTGCTTCACTTTTGGATCCACATTGGAAAATCTATCATTTATAACTAAATTAAAAAAAATTAAAACAATTAATAAATTATGTCACCTATATAAAGAAGAAAATTCCAAGTACTATATAACAAGCTTATCTGTAATAAAGAAAAGTGAGCTCTTATAAAAAAGGTTAAAAACAAAATTATAAGATGAAAGCTTGTTTGGTGAAAGTTCATTTAATTCTTGTGGTTCTGGTAATGGTTACGAAATTGATAGATATTTGGTGTTACAAGAAATTTCTAAAGATCAAAATGCTTAAACTTGGTAGAAAGATAATAAAAAAACTTTTTTTTCTTTTTCAACTAGCAAGAAAGTATCTTGCTGTGCAAGCAGCATTAGCTGCAAGGAGAGGCTTTTTAGTGATGCAGACAATATTATGACAGTTAAAAAAACCTATTTGAAACCAGAAGTGTTTGAAAATTTAATTTTTTTTTAAAAAAAATAGCCTGTTAGTAGGTGGAATGTTTGATTACAATAATGATAGTTATGAGTAATTGTTTGAATTTTGATTTTTTTTTTTCTTATCAATACATTATTTTTTTTATTCTATTTTTCTTACCTAATAATTCTTTTCATTCCAGTTTTAATG